TTAAATATGGAAAAAATATAAAGAATAGCAAATTTTTCATCTGTAATGCTATGATAACTAAAATAGAAAAAAATTGGAATAAAGTCAGATCAACTAGAAAAATCAAAGTGGATAATGTCATATTAAATCAATTAGGTTATTCATAAAAATTAAGACTTAAAACATATTTATTTCTGATTAGAACAGAAAAAATCTAGTTAATTGTCATAAAAACCTGCTACTAAGGTACTCCAAAATGAAATATATTCTTATGAGAGTTATAACTATAATAATTTGATCTTATAAAAAATATGTATGGGTTTTAGAAAATTAAAGTTTTAGTATGAACGAATTAAAACTGTTATAAATGGGAAATTAAGATAATAGTATGTATGATTGGGCTGCAGCATACATCATAGTGAGTATATATCAATCAATTTATTGAGTAAAACCTTAACTCATAAAAATACCTTTCAATTTTAAATAAATTTTCCTTTAAGAAACAAAAATAAATAAAATGATAAAATTTCAAATACAAAAAAAAATGAATTCAATCTTACATTTTAGAAATAATAGTTAGTAATACCTACCTAACCTCTTTTATTCATAAATTTACTACTTTAAAACATATTTATTTATAAAAAACAAAATTTTGAAGAGTTTTTTACATTACATTGTAATACTTATCTATCTCTTTACCGAGTTTTACTGTAAAAGGATTGTTATTTGAGGAATTTTATTTAGTTATTAGTCAATAAATATTTAGTTGAATTAAAATTTTTTTGTAAATATTAATAAATCGAATCAAAAATTGGTTTCGAAATAGGTTTTGAACCTGGCAAAAAATTAAAAGATAAAAACCCCTTATCCAATTATTTAATTTTTTGATAAATTGAATTTCATAAATATTGTGCATAAAACTATTTGATTTAACAATTTTTTGTATAGAAAAAGTTATAGAATAAATCTTCTAAGCTTACTAATCAGCAATAAAAAATTAATAAAAATTAGGTTTCATGATTTATTTCTTTTAAAATATCTTTTTGAAAATAAACTTAAGAATTAAAATCAGTAACAACACATGTGTAAACACGAATCATACTGAAAATATTAAAGTATAGTTTATTTTTATTAGTTTCAGAATAAAGACATTAAAATAAAAATGAGTGATACAAAAACAGTGATTTTTTAACCACTAGTAGTATTATCAGAACATGTACTGACACCATCTGTAGGACCAGTTGTTCCTGATGGGCATACGCAAGCAGTGACAGCAGTAGATCCAGCTGGAGAGGTACGATTATTAGTGCAAGAAGTACAAGAAGTAGCACTTTAAGCAGAGTAAGTATTAGCAGCACATTGAGTACAACCTGCTCCATTACCGTCTGTATCAAAACCTGAAGCGCTATATGATCCGGCAGCACAAGCCTTAAGAGTACAAACAGATTAAGCTGTTCCTACAGTTTAAGTGCTAGGAGTTGATGTTCCGGCAGTACAAGCAGTGCATCCAGTTCCAGCTCCGTCTGTGTCAAATCCTGAGGCAGAATAGCTACCTTTAGCACAAGCCTTAAGAGTGCAAACAGATTAAGCTGTTCCTACAGTTTAAGTATTAGGAGTTGTTGTACCGGCAGTACAAGCAGTACATCCATTTCCAGCTCCGTCTGTATCAAATCCTGAGGCAGAAAAGCTACCTTTAGCACAAGCCTTAAGAGTGCAAACAGATTAAGCTGTTCCTACAGTTTAAGTGCTAGGAGTTGATGTTCCGGCAGTACAAGCAGTACATCCATTTCCAGTTCCGTCTGTATCAAATCCTGAGGCAGAAAAACTACCTTAAGCACAGGCCTTAAGAGTGCAAACAGATTAAGCTGTTCCTACAGTTTAAGCACCAGGAGTTGTTGTACCTGCAGTACAAGCAGTACATCCAGCTCCAGCTCCATCTGTATCAAAACCTGTTGAACTAAATTTTCCTTATGAACATGGTCTAGCGGTACATACAGTATCACTGCCTCCAGTAGTTCCAGTTCCAGGTGTACATTATCCAGCAGGGCATTGGGTACATGCACCACCTGTGTCATCACCAGTACCGCTGTAGGTACAGGCAGCACATGGATCAGCGAAAGCAACATCTAAGAAGCATAACACTGCTATGAAAGCAAAAAGTTTTTTATTCATTTACTAATATTTAAGTCTTAGTAATTTAATTAGTTATTATTTATGAATTAGTTTATTAATTATTTATAAATATTTGAGTGCCAATCACTTCTTAAAATGGTCGATTTATTTTAATTGATTGAGTATCTAATTTCCTGTTTATTTCTATTTAGATATATTTTCAAAAATAGTAAAATTTCAAATCAAGTGTTTAGTTAGATATTTTCTTTAATCAATACTTTGCTTATTGACTATTACTATATATAAAAGTATTAGTAAATTAATTTAAAGATAATGACTTTTTCTATATTCTTATTGGCTATTAAATATTCGCATCTAATAAATAAGAGAACCTTTTTAAAACATTTTAAATGGAAAAACTTACTTTCAATAAAAAAATAGACAAAAAATAGGGTTTTCTGACTGACTAAAAATCTTTTTTGCATTGGATTTGAAAACTAATATCATTTCTTATATTAAGATAAAAATACTCCAAAAAATAAAAATCTTCTTCCTATAATTTCAAAAATAAAATCGAAATATTTTAAGTTACTGATTAAATTTGTGAATAACATTGAAGAAGCTTTACAAATTGACTAATTAATATTTAGGTGAATTAATTTGAATAATGGATTGAATATTTATTTGTGTAATTTTATCTATTATTAATTATTTCTAGCTATAATTACACTGAGTAGTATATATATATACTCAAAATGTCTATTAGATAAGATATAAATAATTTTAAAAATTGCATAAATGGTATTGATAAAAATTTATTTTATTTTAGTTAAAAATTTAAATATGTAATCTGTAAAGACTTTCAAATATTACATACAATATACGTAAATAATTAATCTTACAATATATAAAGGAATTAGTCATTTTTAGCGTGAATTCTTTTTGTTTTGTTAACCTGATTTCAAGAAAAAATAATTCGATGATATTTACTAGTAATTAATTATTAGCCTGACTTTTTTTGAAAATTTGGATTTATTTCGCTTTTATTAAAAGTAATATTTCTTTTATTAAATTTGAAAATTAATGTATTAAAAACTATATTTTATGACTCGTGATACTAAATTGGTTTTTCATTTTTTTATATAATGAATAAGATTTAAAATATTTTCAAAAAATGCCATAAATTAAATTTTTTTAATGCAAATTATACCAAATAAAAAAAGTTTTTGTTTTTAAGATTTCATTTCTTTTTTATTTTCAAAAGTACAAATGAGTTATCAAGTTTCTAGAAATTCTATCTGAAAAAATAAAATATCTTGGAAGTATTCAAGCTAAATTTCATTTTTTTAATAATTTTTATTGTGTTCATTAAGAATAAAAATAGTATTCAATAATATTTTATAATAGTTAAAAATTATAATGTTATAATAGCTTTAAAAATAAGCAAGAAGAATTTCTTCAAAAGAGTGTTTGAAACCATTTTTCAATAGTTTTTTAAAGTAATAAACTAAGAGAGTATCTTTGATAAATTTTTGAATTTTTTTATTCGTAAATTAATCAGATAAACCAATTTTTAGTTTACAGTTTGCGAATATATTAAACAAAAGAATTTACACATATAAATATATAAAGTGTTATGTTTAATTGTAATAATTCGTAATCAAATCTAAAATCAATGATTTTTTAATGAATTTCTAATGGTTTTTAATTAATTAATATCGATTTAATATTTAGATTTATTTTTTTATTGGGTTAATAATTTTGATTTATCAAAAGTATTTGCTCATCCCACTTACTTCTTTATTTCCTCTAGTCGTTACTTATGTTTTATAAATTAAAATAATTTGTTACACTATTCTTCATTAATATCATGCAAAATATTAAAATATGTTTTTCATTTAATTTATACTTGAAATAGCAATTTCAAATATGCTCGTTTTTCTAGCAAAATTTTAGATAAAGAACTTATTATTTAATTTACAAATTTATATAAAACTTGTTAAAATTTCTATTTTTGTATTTCAAATATTCATTACTGTAATAATATAAATTTTGTAAAAAATTCTATGTTAATTACAATGTTTTTGAATATTAATATTGACTATTTTAATTTGAGGTAGAAAAAAAGATAGACAATTTAAATTAGGTAGTAATTCTATAAGTATATTAATCCGGGGTAAATAACTAATAAGAAGTAATTAAGAAGATTAATTTTGTTAAAATATAAAGTTTTCATATTTTTAAATCTTATTTTCAAATAATAAAGTTATAAATAATTTAAGACTATAGTTAGTAGTATTCAATTAACGATTTTTGTAAAAAATAGCTTGTACTTAATTTCATAAAAATAATTTATTTTTATATTCAGTAACTAAAAAATATATAATAATGTGAAATTTATTGGTCAAATTAAATGATGTAAGATAAATTAAATTAATCAAACAAGTTTATTTATTGCCTGAATTTTTTTTCTTTCTATCTCATAGAAAATACATATTTAATACTAAATGATACAATTCAAATCAATAATTTATCTAATCATAAATACTAAAAATGTATTTTTAACATGACTATTTTATGTAATCAATATTAATCTATTTATATATTCTTTTTAATGATTATTTGATATATTAAAAGTATAAATATAGTATCTTTACTAATTGAAGAAAATATATTGCCAAAATAAAAAATTTAGGTAGAATCTTTTTGAATTATTTTTACTTACAGCCAGCTGTCAAAAGGAAAATCTTTTGATTAGATGGTAAAGCTAAATAAAAATACTACTAGAAAACTTAGCTGTTTTCAATATATTTATAAAAAGGGAATTAGATAATATCTAAATAGGGGATTTTTAAAAATTTTAATGTCTCTAAGGTATGTATTTTTGAGTAGTATCTAATTTCTGTCTGGAATCAAAAGACAATTTTTCTTTTTTTAACTAATAGAAAGAAAAAAACATCGATTTTTTTAAGATGAAATAAAAATATCAATAGAAGAAACACTTTTTGAAATAAATGAATAATTTTATTAAAGAAAATTCTAATGTTAATTATGATTTCATTTTTCTATTATCATAAAAATGTTAAGATGCTGATTTTGTGCTTTTAGCAATTCAAAAATTTTATAATTTATTATAAATAAACTACTTTATAAAATTTTATCATTTCTTTAAAAAAAAATATCTTTTACAATAAAATTAGAATTATTTTTAATAAATTATAATAGGTAATTTGAGTTGATTTATTTTATATATCAAGCGACTTGAAAAAAATAAGTTAAATTGAATATGAATACAAAATTGTTATAAATAAGGATTAAAAAATAGAAATTTTTAAATACAATAAATAAATAAATTAAATTAAGTAACAAATAATAGGTAATAAATATAAGAAATCAAAAATATTATTTAGAAGAAAGTAGGCTTTAATTTTTTTTACAAAATAATTCAAAATAGTTTATAAAATAAATTTAAAATATTGATTTTGATTAATTAAGCTTATAAATATTTAAAACTTAAAAAATAATTTTTTTAAGGAAGTAATTCAAACAATATTATTCATAATTAGAATGTTTTATCTCTCATCTAGTAAATTTATATTATAAGAATTCTACAAAGGATTTTTAACTTACTATTATTGAACTTTAAATTTAAAAAGTAACAAAAATAAAATGCAATTAAATAATAAAATAATTTATTTTACAAACTAAATACCATTTTATTTATTCAAAGAGCTTATTTTAATTTCATAGTATTTTAATAAGAGATAATCAGTAAAATAAGTACCACTAATTCAGAGAATATTTTTTTTTTTCTCGAATAATATATTATATTTAGGGTAGAGAGACAAGTTTTAATTCTATGAATCTTCATTATTAAAACAAAATTATAAGAAGATAAAAAATTTTTTTCTAAAATTAAAAATATGAATAAAGTATACAAAAAAAATAAATATAAAATATTTGAATAATTGGTTTATTTATCTATTACTGTAATACCTTTTAACTTGTAACTCGCAATTTGTAATTTACGAACAACATATTAAAAATTTTATTTAACATTTTTTTTATTAATTTATATTTCATAATATTTTGTAAAATTTAAAAAAATTAAGGTAAAATATTACTTTTTAGCAAAATTTATTATATAATTTTAAGGATATTACAAACAACTTAATTTAAAGCTTCTGATAAATGTACTGCTTGTCCAGCAGGAACACATTCAAGTAAATCTATAAGCTCTATTTGCACTTAATGCAGTGTAAGTTAATATTCAACTTTTAAGGAGAATACCATTTGTAAAAGTTGTGAAAATGGTCTAAAATACTTCTAATTTCACCAGTTGTAAATGCTATGCTAAAAATTATACTTAAATTAGGCTTGATAAAAATCTGCATCTGAAACTCAGGATATGCTAGTGTTCCTGTTAGTCCTTCTAGCTTCTTAACAAGGATGCTTAGTTTTAAGCTGGAAAATATGCAGATAAAAGTTTTGGAAAATGAATTGCTCGACTTGCAAGTACATATTCATGTTGCTAGCTCTAAATGTATTAATGATTCGTTTGTATTGGTACCATACATCATAATGGATCTCTCTCTATCAATCATATTTATTGAGTGAAACCTTAACTCTGTAAAATACCTTCAAATTTTTAATAAATTTTACTTTGAGTAATAAAATAAAATGAAAAAATTTCTATTAATAAAAAACATTGAACTCTCTCAAATATATAAGAAATTATAATTAGTTATACCTTATATCTTAAATTCGTAAGTTTACCACATTAAATTGTATTAAAAAAAATAAAAACATTTTGTAGAATGTTTTATATTACCTTCTAATACATACTCAAATATTTATAGACAATTAACTAAATAAAATTCTCTAAAATAGGAATCCTGTAAATAAATACGTTGGATTAAAAGTTTATTATAAGTATAAATAAATAAATAGAATTAAAAATAGGTTTCGGAATGGGTTTCGAACTTGGAAAATAAATTAAAAGATAAAAACGCTTATCCAATTATTTAATATTTTGATAAATTATACAACTTCATAAATATTGTGCATATAAAACTATTTGATTTAACAATTTTTTAAATAGAAAAAATTATGGAATAAATCGTCTAAGCTTGCTTATCAGTGATAAAAAATTAATAAAAATTAGGTTTTATGATTTTTTGCTTTTAAAATATCTTCTTTTGAAAATAAACTTAAGAATTAAAATCAGTAACAACACATGTGTAAACATGAATCATACTAAAAATATTAAAGTATAGTTTATTTCTTTTAGTTTCAGAATAAAGACATTAAAATAAAAATGAGAGATACAAAAACAGTGATTTTTTAACCACTAGTAGTATTATCAGAACATGTACTAACACCATCTGTAGAACCAGTTGTTCCTGATGGACATACGCAAGCAGTGACAGCAGTAGATCCAGCTGGAGAGGTACGATTATTAGTGCAAGAAGTACAAGAAGTAGCACTTTAAGCAGAGTAAGTATTAGCTGCACATTGAGTACAACCTGCTCCATTACCGTCTGTATCTAAACCTGAAGCACTATATGATCCAGCAGCACATGCCTTAAGAGTAACACTACAAACAGATTAGCCTGTTCCTACAGTTTAAGTGTTAGGAGTTGATGTTCCAGCAGTACAAGCTGTACATCCAGTTCCAGCTCCGTCTGTATCAAATCCTGAGGCAGAAAAGCTACCTTTAGCACATGCCTTAAGAGTAACAGTACAAATGGATTAAGCTGTTCCTGCAGTTTAAGTATTAGGAGTTGATGTACCAGCAGTACAAGCAGTACATCCAGTTCCAGCTCCGTCTGTATCAAATCCTGAGGCAGAAAAACTACCTTTAGCACATGCCTTAAGAGTAACAGTACAAATAGATTAAGCTGTTCCTACAGTTTAAGTATTAGGAGTTGATGTACCAGCAGTACAAGCAGTACATCCAGCTCCAGCTCCATCTGTATCGAATCCTGAGGCAGAAAAACTACCTTTAGCACATGCCTTAAGAGTAACAGTACAAACAGATTATGATATTCCTACAGTTTAAGTACTAGGAGTTGATGTACCAGAAGTACAAGCAACACATCCACTTCCAGCTCCGTCTGTATCAAAACCTGTTGCGCTATAATATCCTTAAACACATGCTTTAGTAGTACATACACTAGGACTAGATCCAGCAATTCCAGTTGCAGTGGTACATTCTCCAGGAGGGCAGCTGACACATGCGCCATTTGCGTCATCGCCAGTAGGGCTATATTTACAAATTTCACATGGATTATAAGTGAGAGCAACTTCTAAGAAGCATAAAATTGCTATAAAAGCAAATAGTTTTTTATTCATTTACTAATGTTTAAGGCTTAGTAATTTAATTAGTTGGTATTTATAATTTAAGTAGTTATTATTTATATTTTAGTTTATTAATCAATTATAAGTATTTGAGTTTCAACCACTTCTTAAAATAGTCGATTTATTTTAATTGATTGAGTATCTATCTAATTCCCTGTTTATTTCTATTTAGATATATTTTCAAAAATTGTAATATTTCAAATAAAGTGGGATTTAATTATTTTCTTTAATCAATACTTTACTTATTTACTATTCCCAAATAAAAAAAAATATTAGTAAATTTTAATATAAAGATAATGAATTTTTGTATATTCTTATTGGCTGTTAAATCTGTTAAATATTCTCATTTAATAAATAAGAGAACCTTTTTAAAACATTTTAAATGAATTAACTTACTTTCAATAAATAGATTGATAAAAAATAGGGTCTTCTGACTGACTGACTAACTATCTATTTTTGCTTTAGGGTTTGAAAACTAATATATTTACTTTTATCAAGATAAAAATAGTCCAAAAAATAAAAATCTTCTACCGAAAATTTCAAAAATCAAATCGAAATATTTTAAGTTACTGATTAAATTACTGAATAATTTTGAAGAAACTTTACAAATTGACTAATTAATATTTACGTGAATTAATTTTAATTATGGATTTAATATTTATTTGAGATTTTTATCTATTATTTATTTATTAATTTATTCCAGCGATAATTACACTTAGTAGTATATTTATTTACTCAAATTGTCTATTTTATAGATATAAATAATAATAAAAAACGCACAAATGGTATAGACGAAAATTTATTTTATTTTCGTTTAAAATTTAAATATGTAATCTGTAAAGACTTTCAAATATTAAAATATGCGTAAAGAATTAATTTTACAATATTTAAAAGTGTAAGTCATTTTTTAGCATTAGTCTGACTTTTTTTTGAAAATTTGGTTATTTCTAGTTTTTATTAAAAATAAAATTTTTTTTACTAAATTTGAAGATTAATCTCAATAAGATTTAAAATATTTTCAAAAAATACCATTAATTGTATTTTTTTAAAGCAAATTATACCAAATAAAAAACGTCTTTGCTCTTAAGATTTCATTTCTTTTTACTTTTAAAAGTACATTAAGTTATAAAGATTCTAGAAATTGAATCTGGTAAAATAATCATTCAAATTCAATTTCTTATTTTTTTGAAATTTTTATCTTATTCATTAAGATATAAAATGTTATTAAATAATGTTTTATAATAATTAAAAATTCTAATTTTATTATGGCTTTAAAAATGGGCAAGAAGATTTTTTTTCAAAAAATTGTTTGAAGCCATTTTCAATAATTTTTTAAAGTAATGATCTAAGAGAGTATCTTTGATAGATTTTTGAATTTCTTTAATTTGTAAATAAAATAGATAAACCAATTTTTAATTTCCAGTTTATGAATATATTTAATAAAGGAATTTACACATATAAATATATAAAGCGTTATGTTTAATTGTTCGTAATCAAATCAAATAAATGATTTTTTAATGTAATTTTATGTGGTTTTTAATTAATTAATATAGATTTACATTTAGATATATATTTTTATTGAGTTTATTATATTAATTTATAAAAAGTATTCGCTTATTATACTAACGTCTTTATTTATTCTAGGCGTTATCTATGTTTTATAAATTAAAGTATTTTGTTACACTATTTCTTCGTCAATAAATATTACACAAAATTTTATAATAAGTTTTTCATTTAATTTATACTTGAAATAAGCAATTTCGAATATATTTGCATTTCTAGCAAAATTTTAGATAAAGAACTTATTATTTAATTTACAAATTTATATAAAACTTGTTTAAATTTCTATTTTTGGATTTTAAAATATTAATTATTGTAATAATAGCAATTTTGTAAAAATTTAATATGTTAATTACAATTTTTTTGAATATAAATATTGACTATTTTAATTTGAGGTAGAAAAAAAGATAGACAATTTAAATTAGGTAGTAATCCTTAAAGTGTACTAATTTGGGGTAAAAAACTAATTAGAGGTCCTTTAAAAGATTGATTTTTTAAAAATATAAAGTATTCATATTTTTAAATCTTACTTTCAAATAATAAAGTTATAAATAATTTAAGAATATAGTTAGTAGTATTTAGTTAACCATTTTTGTAAAAAATAGCTTCAACTTATTTTTATATTGTAACTAAAAAAAATATCATAATGTGGATATTATTGGATGAATTAATGATATAGATAAATTAAATTAATCAATTAGTTTACTTATTGCCTGAATTTTTATTCTTTCTATCTCATATAAAATACATATGCAAATATTAAATGATACAATTCAAATCAATAATTTAGCCAATCGTATTTTTATCATGTACTATTTTATGTAATAAATATAAATCAATTTATATATTATTTTTAATGATAATATGATATATTAAAAGTATAAATAAAGCATCTTTACTAAGTTAAGAAAATATATTGCCAAATTTTTTAATATAATAAAAAAATTAAATAATAAATATTGTAATTTATTTAAACTTTACTTATTCTTAAAAAAATATTAATTTCCATTATAAATATCTATAATATATAAGCTTTGATTTATTTAATTAAATAAAACATAGTAAGTAAGGTAACAGCAATTGATCAAAACTTTAATCTTTTTACAGAAGGCTCCAAGATGATTTTAGAAGAATTTAATACTTAAATTTAGTTTTTTTTATAAAATTTTACTAAATTAAAAAAATATGATATTTATAAATTTAAAAAAAATAATAAATCTATCTATTTTAGATAAAATTATCAGATTACAAAGTATTAAAAAATAAAACGAATTTTATTAAGGTATTCAAATATATTATTTATTTGCCTTTTTTTTCACCAACTCTTATCATCAATATACATTTTTAAGATAACTAATCTTTTTGATTTCAGACACTTTAATTTCAAATTGTTTGATCTCGTTATTTTGTTTTTGCTTTTAATATAAATTATTGTAAATTAATAAAAAAAATAAAGAGAATAAAATTTTTAAATAAAATTTATATTTTAAATCAGTAAATAAATAAAAAATTATCAGAATAAAAAAAAAGAAAAAGAAATCAAATAAAAAGCCTATAAATTAAAAGGTTAGTTGTGTTGTTTAAATTTATTTTTATATTCTAAAATATCATAACACAAAAAAAATAAACTGTTTTTATTACAAAAGATCAAGTGTCAAATTTGAGAGTTTAGTCAACTATCCTAAATTATAGCATAAATCTAATGCACCTTAGTAATTTAAATAATTAAACCTTTTTAAATATTGAAGAAAAAAGATTTAGTTAATTAGCTAGTTAGAAGGTTAAAATGAAGAAAAAATATGAAATAACAAGAAATGTATTCATTAATTGTTGAATAAAAAATGAGTTAAATTAACAATTAAACAAAGAAACAAACAAATAAATAACACAAGCAGTATAAAAAATAAAAGAAGAATAAATCAAATAAAAATCTAATCAATAAATTATTAGAGTTAGTTATATTGTTTTAGATTATTTTTATTTTCAAAAAAAATACAATTAAAAAACAAATAAACTGTTTTTACCCAAGGTTAAGTGTCAAATTTGAGAGATTAGTGCACTTTCTTAAATCAGAACCTAAGATATATACACCTTCATCACGAATTTAATTTTTACTTATTAAATATTGAAGAAAAAAAATATACTTAATTAGTTAGTTAAAAAATGAAGCAAAATATGAAATAATAAGAAATTAATTAATAATAAAAAATTAGAATTGCAATAATGAGTTAATTTAAGGGGGGGGGGGG